TTGATTTTTTTTCTTCAGTTTTGTGAAGAACGAAGACAGATTTCTATATTACGTGGACGAAAGTGAAGCGCATGTTTGAGATAATACAGTTCATAAAACTCCAGCAGAAAAATAAACGTAAAAAAAAATACATTTGAAAAAACAGTGTATATAACATTCAAGAAAATAAAACGATTAAAAAACTGAAAAAACTTTTTAAAAAATGTAATCTAAGAAAAAAAGCAGAATATTTTCTTGACCTTTTTCCATTTTCATTAATTATATTTAGAATCCATGTTTTTCACGTTTCCATTAAGAAAACTGATGTTTTTTCCCCCAAGTTTTGATTTACAAACCATGTTTTTTGCTTGCAACAATATTGGAACAAAAGTAACCCCATACAAAACAGCTCAGGTGTAAAACGGATAGAATGGAGAACATCTATCTGTGGCATTTTATCTGGAATTCAAAACGATGCATATTTAGCTGCCTTTCTTCAGTAAAGTGCAGATTTATAGTTTGTGGTGCAAAAACATTGTGAGCTAGGATTCTCACACCTAAAATAATAAAAGCTGAGGGTGAAACAACCCCTCCTGATGAAACCTGATAGGATTTCATGACCATCAAGAATGGCTCAACAAATAACAGAGCATCTCCCTCCATGGCCGCCGCCCCCCTCCTCAGGCTGAACCACGCAGGTCCAACAGAGGCGGCTGTAACGACCCGGTCGGCGCTTAAAGAGAGGGAGAAACCCTCCCAAACTGTTCTCATTGATTGAAACGTAGGCTTACAATTCTCCCTGATACGCCTCCTCCTTCAGCCTCTTCAGAAAGAGGTGGGCGACGAGGTAGAGAATAAATAAAAAAAAATACTACGCTCAGGTGCTTTGTACTGGCATTCAGTGAGTGAATGCAGGTGGTGTGTGGATGTGAGAGGTAGTTGGAGCGCTGGCAGCCCGGGCCCTCTGCTGACTGAGCGGCTCTCACTGGAGAATTGATTTGGCCTCTGAGAGGATCTGTAGCTCTCTCAGCGGAGCAGGGGGAGGCGGGAGGGAGGGAGAGGAGGGGGAGGCAATGAAAGCCCAGGTGGAATCGAGAGACGGAGGGAAATGAAAAGAAGACGCGGGAACAACAAACGCACACGTAGCTGAAAAAAATAAAAAAAAAGAGTGTGTGAGGAAAATGTCCTCCCTGTAATAACCCCCGTCTCTCCAGCCCATAACACGGGCGACCACATCACACCGCCTCCCACGCAGCGCTGAAACCAGTGAGTCTGCACCACTGGGTGAGACGTCTCTCTAAAGGCCCAGTTCACCAGGTTGTTGGCGTCTTAGCTGGTTTATTCCGCCCTTTTGTTCCCCCCTCCATGGAGGTCACTTCAAGTTTCATCTCATCTGCTGCAGTTGTTTAATCACTGCCCCCTCTGCAGTCCCTTTTTTAATCGTTCTGACATTAAAACAGCAGGCTACATGTATTTAACCTGGACAGACTTTAACCTTTCACTCCCAGCACTCATAATTACAGAAAACACACACAGGTGTTTATAAAGCAGAGCGTCTGGTTAATCAGAAGTCTCCTTGTTTCTTGTCGCGCAGTGACCAACTACAACAATGTGCTGGAGGCGGGCTCGGAGTCGGACGATGAGGACAAGCTGCACATCGTGGAGGAAGAAGGCAGCCTGGCAGACGGGGCAGACTGCGACAGCACCCTGCCAGATGACGAGCACCCGGGCGTGCCCAGCTGGGACCCAGGTGAGACCTCACTGCAGCCTGAGACGCCAACAGGGCCGTTAGTGCTCCTAACTTTATCAATTTTCCCAGGTGAACCACACATTTGCATGTATTTCCTGTGTTTGGCCAACATAGAGAGGTGGAACTGACTCAGGACTTCCTTTCTTTACCAGTTTTTTACATATGCATAGATATACCTACAGATATATATACAGAAGAGCTATATGTGTATATATTTTAT